ACTAATTTGTTATAATGAACTAATTAAAATGTGTTTAAATGTAAAAAAGCTTTGAATCAAATGGTTTTAATTGATGAAATGAGCTAATTAAAATATTACAATGATTGAATTGTAATAAAATATTTACTTATCGATTTTACATTTGTTTTATTCCATGAAAAGAATTAACATATTTATTTATTTTACCGTAAAAAATGCACTAGATGGCATAAAAATTATGACCGGATTTATTTTTATTAAAAAATTTGATGTAACTTCTTATATAAACATACTGATAAATAATAATTAATTCTGGAAAAATAATTAATAATTTGAATCAATTGAAATAATTATGCGATTTAATTCTATTACATGAATAATAGGAAAGTTCTATTAACTCTCAGAAATTAATTTTATAACAGTAATTAGTTTTATTCAATTAAATAAATAATAATTCATCTTTATTAAAATGATTAACGCATTTTATTGAATGAACAGACCTTTTTATTATGTGATTGACAAGTTGAATTCCTAAACAGGTTTACATATTTTGCTATTTTTTATATTTTAGAGGATTAGATATTTCAATAAGCTTAGAAAATTATTTCTCATAATTGTTATATAGTTGGATAATCTCCAAGAGAAGAAAGGAGAGTTATTGAAAGTGAGAAACTACATATTAAAACGTAGCTACATTTTTTACTACGTAGCAGTTATAATTTATTTTCCCAGCTGATAACAGCTTTGTGACCTTGAATTTACAATTAAAGAGAAAAATTTGTAATCTACCGGCTCAGCGTAGTAGTCGCATATTGCGTTACTGGCATATATTTATACAATATATGAATACTCTAAGAAAAAAATACTGTCAAAACTACCAGAATATGGTAAAATTTATCTTGTTTTTGGCTCTATGGGAACACCAAAACACCCGGTAATTTTTACTGAAGCGCTTTGTTAATAATTTTGTCACGATTAACAATAAAATATCGTTTAATATGTGATAAAATTTGGTAAATGCCGCAAAATTTAGTAATTTTATCACTATACTATAGAATATGGCATAGAAACCATTTATTTGGTCAAATTTACTTTTCAGTTTTGTATTTGTTACTAAATATGTGGTAATAAGAATTATAATTTTTAAAACCAGAATTTCCGGTAAACCGTTATCATATGAATGGTAAAATTACCAAATGTATGGTGTAAATACCAAATATTTTGGTATCATTAAGAGTGTTTCATTTATTTATTTACTTTTCTTTCATAATGTTTTTCTCCTTGAAGATTAAAAGTATTTTTAGAAAATTCCAGAATCTAATTATCAAAAGTATGAAATGTTTTTGTTTGTAAGCATACCATAAATTTTGCTTGCATTAGCTTTCTATATTTGTTAAAGGTTTTAGTTTTAAATATTGGTGTTCGTTTAACAGTAAATTGATTAACAAATCAGCAGCAATCTCAAAAAGTGACAAACTGATATAATAATGAAAAGTGAAGCGTCAAAGTGTCAAACTAAATTAATTCTTTCATCTTAACTGATAAAAGAATTAACTATGCAAGTTGGTTCTTTTTTTTTCTTTTAAGATAATAGTTAAGGTGAACGTATACTTTCGTTAACGTTCTTATAAAAATATTCATAGTTTAATGTCATAGTTATGTTATTGTTAAACATAACTTGAAAATATATTTCAAATTAGTAAAAAATTACTTCATTATCTGGAAGTTATTAAAAAAAATTATATGATATATGACGAAAACATGCAACAAAAAAATATTATGGCTTTTCGCTATATATAAAATGAATTAAAGTTATTGCGAAATTTTTTTAAAAAAAATGATTAATGTACAAAACGTAAGGCAATGTTAAAAAAAAAACTTCAACATTATTTTTCTTTTAATATTTTTCTATAATTCGTATTAACTCTTCTTGCCTTTATTCCTTTTAAGTAGGTAATTGGATAAATTTTAAAAACGTTGCAGAGAAAGAAATTCAATTACTGATTTTTTTGAGGTTGAATTTTTTTTTTAAGTAAAAAAAATATAGTCGTAGAAACTAACCTATTTCATGTAAAAAGGAATACGTTTAGTTAGTTGTATGTTCGTAAACGAAACAATATAAATTGTAGAATAGAAATTTCAATTAACTTAGAAAGCTAAGAAATTAAAAGTTCTAGAGTTAGGAAGAGCAGAAACGATGACTCATTAAGAGGAAACGATTACATTAAATGAGAACAGAAACTTTGAACAACATTGAACATTTAACTTTGAACAATATTATGGACAAGCGCTCGATGGCGCTTAACCTTACTATTGTGCAAAGCATAGCGTTTGTCTTGCCTTAATCTTTATTAATGTAAAATAGACACTATGTGAAACCTCATTATATGATTTAATCTTAAACTGCAGTCTTTGATTTCCCTGAAGTACTTTCCCAAAAAACATATATGCAATTGTGAAAAGAACAAGAAAATTCTCAATGCGATTGAGTTGCGTTCACCGACCACAATACCGACATAATTATTTGTTAGAGTGTTTTTGGTAAAATAACAGAGTTTTTGCTTAAATTGCTGAGTGTTCATAAAATAACAGAGTTTTTTTTTACACAGCTGTACTTATCTGCTGAAAGAACAGGTGTCCGTTTTTAAATAACAGTATTTTTCTGTGAAATAAACGTGAATACCAGCTGACAGTTTTTCCCTTAGATTAAACAGATATTTTATAGTGTAAGTACCTTCCTATATCTCTAAGCGAATGTTCATGACTCGAGCTTATTCCATGCATGGTTATGATTCAAAAGTTAAATATATAAAAAATAAATAAATAAAAACATTATAAAAAACTTTTTTTTAAAGCACAAACTATTATTGACTAAATATCTATCACTTCTTTTCAAATATCATGTGAATTTTGCATATGAATCATAGTTATAAAAAATGATATACTCGCTGCCTATGGAAGAGTGTCTAGATATTGAAGATACTCAACATCAGTATCTGGTCTACACAAAAAAGATTCTCTACGTTGCGGCAGAGTTGCATACACCGATCACAATACTGACATAATAATTTGATAGAGTGTTTTTGTTAAAATAATAGAGCTTTTGTTAAATTGTAGAGTTTTCGTATAAATAACAGAGTCTGTATTTTAAAACAACAGTTTTTATCTGAAAAAACAGGCGTCTGTTTTTAAACAGCAGTATTTTATTTGTGAAATAAACGTCAACACCAGCTGATATTTTTCCCCCGTAAATTTAACAGATTTTATTTAATAGTGTAAGTACTTTCCTAGCTCACTAAACGAATGTTTATGAATGGAGTTTCTTCCATGCATGTTCATGATTCAAAGGTTAATCATATGAAAAATAAATGAATGAAAAACACTTAAAAAAAATACAATTGAATAAATATCTATCACTTCATTTCAAAGGTCATGGGAATTTTGCGTATGAATCATAGTTACAAAAAAAGACAGTGTTTTATTTGTGAAATAAGCGCCAATACCAGCTGATAGTTTTTTCCCCGTGAATTTAACAGATTTTATTTAATGGTGTAAGTAATTTCCTAGCTCACTAAACGAATGTTTATGAATGGAGTTTCTTCCATGCATGTTTATGATTCAAAAGTTAATCATATAAAAAATAAATGACTGAAAACACATTTAAAAAAAACACACACACAAACTACTAGTGAATAAATGTCTATCACTTCATTTCAAAGGTCATGGGAATTTTACGTATGAATCTTTATTACAAAAAATGATATACTCGCTTCCTATGGAAGAGTGTCTAGATCAGTGATTCTCAACCTTTTTTGGGGGGCGGCACACTTTTAACGATTTCGAAATTTGACGGCACACAATGAAAAAAATTAGTTTGAAAGTTGTTTACTTAACTATAATACACTGCGTTAGATAGTTTGTGATAATAATTTCGAATGTGATATAAAATAATATGTACTACAATAGCACGTTTATTAAGGGATTAATTATTTCTTTCGTCTAATTTTTAATTAGTTAGTAACAGTTATTTTTTTCTTCTTTTGCTAGTTTGTTAGCTTGTTTTCTATAGCTATTAACTGATATTTCTATAGCTATAAAATGATAATTTTTATTGTATCATTTCTAATATTTGGCGGCACATTTTAAGAATTTTGCGGCACACAAAAGTGCCGCGGCACAGTGGTTGAGAATCGCTGGTCTATATATTGAAGATACTCAACATCAGTATCTGGTCTACACAAAAAAGATTCTCTACGTTGCGGCAGAGTTGCACACACACCGATCACAATACTGAAATAATAATTTGATACAGTGTTTTTGTTTAAATAATAGGGTTTTTGCTAAAATTGTAGAGTTTTAGTATAAATAACAGAGTCTGTATTTTAAAACAGCAGTTTTTTATCTGATAAAACAGACGTCTGTTTTTAAACAGCAGTATTTAATTTGCGAAATAAGCGCCAACACCAGCTGATATTTTTTTCCCCGTAAATTTAACAGATTTTATTTAATAGTGTAAGTACTTTCCTAGCTCACTAAACGAATGTTTATGAATGGAGTTTCTTTCATGCATGTTTATGACTCAAAGATTAAACATATAAAAAATAAATGAATGAAAACACAATTTAAAAAAAAAAAAAAAACACAAACTACTATTGAATAAATATCTATCACTTCATTTCAAAGGTCATGCGAATTTTACGTATGAATCATAGTCACAAAAAATGACAGTATTTTATTTGTGAAATAAACGCCAATACCAGCTGATAGTTTTTTTCCCGTAAATTTAACAGATTTTATTTAATAGTGTAAGTACTTTCCCAGATCACTAAACGAATGTTTATGAATGGAGTTTCTTCCATGCATGTTTATGATTCAAAGGTTAATCATATAAAAAATAAATGAATGAAAACACTTTTTTTTTTAAAAAAAAGCACAAACTGCTATTGAATAAATATCTATCACTTCATTTCAAAGGTCATGTAAATTTTACGTCTGAATCATAGTTACAAAAAAAGACTTAC